ATATCCTTCTCCAGGGACTGGTCCTTCCTGATAATATGTCTGATATATGAGGTGAAGTTTGGCCATTGGTTTGAACCTCAAGATTGACAGTTCAAGCTCACCAACTGCTCCTTGCAAACCATATACAGGGATGTTATGGATTGGAACCTACTCAACAGTGCTTAACAACAATATTTATTGATCCAAAGATGAAGATTTCTGTTTTTATATTCAGGTGCAAATCATTCTGAGGCTGTGGTCTTTGATCTTCATCAGATGCTCTTGTTGGAAATGAATGTTAAGACATTCCTCTTCAATTTGACATTCCTAGCATGGTAAATCATGTGATTATCAGATTCAAAATGGGTAATACCTGTCCATTTCAGCTAACTAATGCCCAGGATATTAATGTTTATGTGCTCAAATTCATTTTTGACAATACACAGTTTTCTTTTTTTAATTGATGTTTTCAGCCTTTCCTCCTCATTTTGAGTTGTGTCCCACCAGAAAATGAAGGTCTTAAAAACTTTACTTCATTCACATTATTCAGACCTACTCTACTTTGATGACCCAGCTCTTCCCAAGTCATATTTTGAGTACCTTCCAAGGGGGCTTATTTCCTGGCACTATATCTGGCAATGTTTTGGTGCTCTTCATTATGTTTCAATACTCAATATTCTGGTGCAATCTGACAGTGCTTCATTGCTATTCTAAATGTTTTCAATGAGTGTTTTTAAGGCCATAATACATCCCTCCTTCTTAGTCTGTTTTAGTCTGGAAGCTCATCTGAAACTTGTTCACTATGGGCAACCTACTGGTATTTAAAATACTGATGACAAAAATTCCAGAATCACAATAACATGCAAGCCACCCCTGCATAACTAACAGAAATTTTTTAACTTTCTGAGAAAGGTTCACACTGTTTTCACACTATTTGAACAATTTTACAGCCCTGCCAGCAAGTAGGAGCATTCCAGTCTTCACACATCTTCAAAAGCAATTATTATTTTCTGTTTCTTTTTGCACTGTACTATTAATACTGTTAGAAACACTATTTCTGTGTTGTTTTGACTTGCATCTCTCTAATGGAGTCCTGGTGTAGTGTTGTGGGTTAATGAGCTGGACTGAAAGTCAGTTTGAACCACAAAGTTGGTAGTTCAAGCTCACCAGCCACTCCTTGGAAACCCTATATAGGATTGATATAAGTCAGAACTGATTTAGTGGCATTTAACAATAGCAACATGCCTAATGATCATGTATGTTTCTACATATGTTTGTTGGGTGCCTGAATGTCTTCCTTAATGAAGTGTCTATTCATGCCTTGTGCCAAAATTTTAATTGGTTCAAACAAATATATTCATCATGTTGTAAAACTACTCCTTATGCATATGAGCGGCGTAGCTTATCAACATAAAATCCTTCATTACATTCATTTGTGAATTAAAGTATTCCTTAAATTTTCAGTTTCATTTTTAATGTATAATAAAAAGAGTTTTAATACACCTCTTGGAAAGATTGTTTGAATAAAAATCTGGGAGACATTAATGTCAGTCTGTAATGCAAAAATGGAATTTTCTCAACAGAATTTCTAGTAATGCATGAATTCTTGCAAATTTCTGTAATACTCCCCCACTACCTCAAGGAGCTCTGGTAGCGTAGAAGTTATGAATCCGTCTGCTAACTTCAAGATTGGCAGTTCTAAACTACCAGCCGTTCCGCGGGAGAAAAATGAGGCTTTCTGCTCCCATAAAGATTTACAGCCTCGGAAACCGGTCACTATAAGTCGGAACCGACTCCACGGTACTTAAAAACAACAGCAACAACCTCATCTTGCAGCACTAATACAAGTGATTTTCAAGTAGAACTCTGAGTTGGCCTCAGCATTAAAAAGGAGAATATTTACAATTATTTGTTGCTATTGCTAAGTGCCATTGAGTTGGTTCAGACTCATAGCAACTTTATAGGATTTCCAAGGAGCAGATGGCGAGTTTGAACTGCAGACCTTTCAGTTCAAACCAACTTTGTAGTCTAGTACATTAACCCACAGTTCCACACGAGGACTCCATATAATAATGTTGTTGTTGTTAAGTGCCGTCGAGTCGGTTCCGACC